CAAATCATAACTGTCCTGCTCCAAAATTCAACGAGGCCTTTCTCAATCTTTATATAAATAATTCCTTCACACAGTCAATGTTATTAGTCATAGTGTGCAATTGGTTCTTTATAGGAATAGCAAAGAGACCCACTGGCAGTGTGAAATGACTGATCTCTTGTGTGGATGTATCTACAGCTCTGAATCCCAACAGCCTTCTAGCTGGAGGCATGGGAGAATTTCACTCAGCAAGGTGGGAGTGGGAATAATGGTATTAAAGGGATTTGTAAATCATGTGACTTATGATATGTGGAGTGTACCTTTTAATATACTAGCAAAGGTGAGAACCTGAAAAAATATAGTTGTCTGACATTAGAAAACATGACAGCTGATTACTGGATAGTATTACAATATAAGGTGCTATGACAACATAAAGCCAGTTCATTTGTTTACTGAATTTTTATCTCACCTTTCTCCAGAGATGGAATTCAATGAAGTTTCAAATAATTTAAAAACACCAATTTAAAATGTTACCATAATTTTAGAAAAGTCAAAAAATATATAACATTATTTATAAAAAGTTTTAAAGAATATATAATTGTCAATAAAAGGATTAAACATACAAAGTATACATACTGACATTTCAAAAGCCAACCTGAATAAAAATGTCTCTACTTGCTGGTGAAAACAGAGCAGGAAGGTGATTAGCCACAATTCCTGTGGAAGGGAATTCCACAGCCCGGGAAAGGCTATCAAGAAGGTTTTGCCTCTGTAAAGGTGATGGGACTGAAGCAAAAGCTTCGCCTGCCAATATTATGCTCACGCGGGCTTGTATAAAGACATACAATCTTTCAGTTAGGGCTTTAAAGTTCAAAATCAGCACTTTGCATTTTGCCTAGAGATAGACAAGTAGCTTATGAAACTGTTTCCAAAGGGGAAACACATGATCCCCGTAACTAGCCTTGATCAACAGCTTGGCTGGAGCCCCCAGTGGCGCAGTGGGTTAAACCCCTGTGCCGGCAGGACTGAAGACCGACAGGTCGCAGGTACGAATCCGGGGAGAGGCGGATGAGCTCCCTCTATCAGCTCCAGCTCCTCATGCGGGGACATGAGAGAAGCCTCCCACAAGGATGATAAAAACATCAAATCATCCAGACGTCCCCTGAGCAACATCCTTGCAGACGGCCAGTTCTCTCACACCAGAAGCGACTTGCAGTTTCTCAAGCCGCTCCTGACACGACAAAAAAAATACAGCTTGGCTGCATTTTTCTGGACCAGCTCAAATTTCCAGTTTCCAAAGATAGTCGCATATACAGTAATCTACACATGATATGAAAACATTTGTTGCTATCTAGTTCTGGGCACCACAATTAAAGAAGGGAGAAATTGATAAGCTGTAACATGTCCTGTAACATGAGTGGCCAAAATAAAAAAAAAAGGAAGCCAAACCCTATGGGAAGTGACTTAGGAAGTTGATCTTTCCAGCTTGGGAAAGAAGTAGGCATGGTTAGGTTCAGTCGGAATCTTCGTAATTAGGAATAAATTTGGAAAGATTTCCTTTTTGAAGCAATTTCAAAGTTTTTAAGGAAACCGGAAGTCCCTTTGCCCTTCCGAAGTTTTTCCGCCATTTCTCTTATGAATCAGTAAGTGAGTCAGAAATGATTCAGCTTCTCAAACCAGTGTGGAAGAATTTTCTTCGGTTTCCTTTCTCTCCCGCATCAGTCCTGGGCGAGAGCCGCAGTTTAACCCAGTTTGGATGGATTTCCTTAGGTTTCCTTTCTCTCCCACGTCAGTCCTGGGCGAGAACAGCAGTTTAACCCAATTTGGATGGAATTTCTTCCCTTTGCCCCCTCCCCCCGAAATAAAACAACTACTTTCAAAGTAAAGACCACCCAATGAAACAGGAAATAACACTTTGAAACCATTAACAAAGGATTTAGAAGTCTCGGAAGTTTTGAAAAGTTTTGAACTTTTTTTCCCGTGAAAATCAGAATTGACTTTAGATCCGAACCACCCCCTACATCCAAAATGAGTTTTGAACCTTTTTTTTTATCAAACAAGCCTAGAAAGAAGTGATAACATGATCGCCATATTTAAACATTTGAAAGGATGTTACCTGAGGAGGGAAACCAACAAGAAATATTTATTTATTTATTTATTTATTTTATTATTTGCTTTATTTCTATACCGCATTTTTCAGCCCAAACAGGCGACTCAATGCGGTTTACATGGTACAAATTATCAAACAATGTCAGTGCAATTAAAACGCAACAAATGCAACAAACAGGATCAACAACATCAATCCACAACAATTAACAAATCAAAACAAGACAAGTCAACAAAACAAAACATAACGCCTCAGTGAAATCAGATCCGTTCTCATGATCCTTGTGCCATTCCTATGTTCCATTTACCGTCTTCCTTTGATTGGTTGCACTGCTTAACTAAACGCTTGTTCATAAAGCCAGGTCTTAACCTTTCTCCGAAACGCCAGCAATGAAGGTGCCTGTCTGATGTCTGCCGGTAAGGCATTCCATAGCTGAGGGGCAACCACTGAGAAGGCCCTGTCTCTCATCCCCGCCAAGCGCGCCTGTGACACAGGCGGGACCGAGAGCAGGGCCTCCCCAGACGATCTTAATGTTCTAGTCGGTTCATAGGTGGAGATGCGTTCGGAGAGGTAAGTGGGGCCAGAACCGTTTAGGGCTTTATAGGCTAAAGCCAGCACCTTGAATTGTGCCCGGTAGCGGATTGGCAGCCAGTGGAGTTGGCTCAACAGAGGAGTGGTATGCTCCCTGAGTGCCGCTCCCGTTAGCAACCTGGCTGCCGAGCGCTGGACCATCTGAAGCTTCCGGGCAGTCTTCAAGGGCAACCCCACGTAGAGCGCGTTGCAGTAATCAATCAGGGATGTAACCAGAGCGTGGACTACCATGGCCAAGTCAGACCAAATAGAGACTAGGGACCTCATCACATTGGAGTATCCATCCACTTTAAACCCTTGGCTGTGTCCTGCAAAATGCTGAGGTTTGTAGTTTAGTGAGGTCCATGACCTCTTTGGCTGAGCAGTTTAAAGTCCCCTCCCCCCTAAACTACAAATCTCAAAATGTTTCAGGAGGCAGCCACAAGATTTAAAGTAGAAAGATACAACGGAGGCCTCATCACTATGTTCCTATTGATGCAGCCTAGAATCACATTGGCTTTTTAGCCACTACATCACACTGTTAACTAATGTTCTGATTGTGGTCTACTCCAAGATCCTTCACATGTACTGTTTTTAATCCAGGTGTCACCCATCATATATCTATACATTTCATTTTTTTCTAAGTGTAGTACCATGCATTTTTTTGCTGAAATTCCTTTTGTTAGTTTCAGTTCACCTCTCTCATCTGTTAATGTCACTTTGGATTCTGATCCTGCCATTTAGAGTATTAGCTATCCCTCTCTATTCAGTATCATCTGCAACTTTGATAAGCATGCCTTCTATTCAATTGTTCAGCTCATTGATATGAATGTTGAATAGCACTGAGCCTAGCAGAGACTCTGTGGCACTCCTCTGGTCGCTTCTTTCCAAGATTAAAAGCAGCCATTGGTAAGCACCCTTTGGGTTGTGCCAGTTAACCAATTCTCAATTTATCAAACAATAGCATTGGATGCAATTCATCCCTGGACATATGAATTTAGATAAGCCAGATATTCCTGTTCTGCCTCCTTACCTATTTTGTGCTCTATTTCCCCTACTGTATCCACTAGGCTTGGTTGGTCAAGAAAAAATTTGGTTCTAAACTCGTTTCGTATCTAGGGGGCGCCCGCGTTTCTAATCTGAGAGGATTTCCGAAATTTCAAATTTCAAAATTTCGATATTTACGAATCGATTCGTTAATGGCGGACACGATTGCTCAATATGCGAAAAAAACCTCCAAACGGGACAGGGGGAACTTCTGAAGTTTCCCTCTCCCTCTGTTGTTGACTGTTGGTGTGATAAAACTAACAACTATATATATATTATATTATATTATCAAAAAACTGTCCCAAGCCCATAGCACGTCCAAAAGCAGAAGATTAAGTCAGAATGAGATGTCCATCCAAAAACAATCCGAAGTCAGAATGGAGTCAGCACTTACAGGAATCCAGTCTTTAAAACGCTTTAAAATGGCTTGTCTTAATCCAGCTAAACGTCTTCCTGGCCCAGCAGCTTAAAACTATTATTATTATATATTATATTATATTATTATTAAAAATAGATGGCCATCTGTCAAGGTTGCTTTAATATACAATTATATTAATATAATATAATAACATACAATTATAACATATAATATAATAATAATATAATATAATACAATTATAATAATATAATATACAATAATAATATAATAATATAATACATACGAAAATAATTACGAAAATTGGAAAATTTGTTTCGATTCTTAATTACTCCTCACACTATTCCTGCATGGCTCGATATTGGATCAAAAGCTAATTTAAATACGAATTCATAACGAGTTTAGAAACTAACGAACACGATCAACCAAGCCTAGTATCCACTGCTCCATTATCCCAAGGATGACTACTGTTAACCTTTTAGGAGAAGACTGAGGCAAAAAAAGGTGTGAGTAGTTGTGTCTTTACTCTGTCCCCTATTAGCATTTCACCATCACCTGTATGCACTGGCCCTGTTAGTGGGGGAAAGTGTCCTTAAGAGTGGTCACCCAGACAAATCTGTATTTGGGAATGACTAACCATCCCACAATGTTTTTGTCAACTTCTTCTTGCTTTCCTCTGCCTCTCACTTCTTTCTTTAGTCAGGAGTCAGGGAACACCCAACTCCTGAAAATGGACTTCTCTCTCTGTCTTCACACTCTGGCAAGACGGATTTCCACGCACAGTCACCAGAAGTGGCTGTGCGTCACGGGATGGCCTCTGTTTTGCCACTGTGCAAAGATGGTAAGTAAATGGAAAAATTAGAGTGGGATAAGATTGCATGTCAACAAAAAATATGCAAACGAAACCTAAAAACCACTCAATTTTAAAATGTCAGAACTATTTTATTTCTTGTCTGATACTGTCAGCAATTTGTTCTTCTTTGTAGTGTTTGTACATACTTTTTTATTTCCTTAAATTTACTCAATGAGGTAACCCCTGGCCCTGCTACTGCCTTCTTCTGGGTACATTAAGAAATTGTCTAGATAAGTTACTAACATATTTTTATCTTGCCTTTTTATGCAGCAGTTGAACATCACTTCTAGCCAGGCATGAAGATGGAAAGACAGCATAAGGCACCACCAACACAAAATGTAGCTTGTTGTTGTTGAAAATACACCCCCCCCCCTTCCCGGTTTGTACTTTAATTTTTCAGCTACTAAACAGAAAAATATTTTACTAGGAAAAATGATATTAAGAAGAAATGATTCTTCAGTTGCCCTTAGGCAAGGCAAAAACAGGATTTGATTTGCTGTGTTATGCTGGAATCTGGATTGGTATCCATAGATGAGAGAGGTGTTTAATAAAATTTACATTTTATTCTCTCACTTGACACCAGTCTCCTGTCACTCATCAAATGAAGGGGACTTACAAAATAACTTTTGTCAGCATGAGAAGAGAGAATGCTTTCTCTTTGTTATCATTGCATCCACAAAAGAAGAAAAAATATATGACAGACACAAGTTACTTTTGCAGTTGAAACTGAGCATTGTACTCAGGGGGGAGACCAATACTGGCCAATCTTAAAAAATATATCAGCTTGGAGGAATTTTTGCCATTTCGAGTCTTGCTCTCAACCTTGTTTTCACATAATACAGACTCCCTTCTTTCTTTTGACCACAATGACTGTAAGATTGCAATTTCCATTTTTTTCATAATGATCTTCATGATGGGATTTGCCATTTCCACAGCTGTTGCACATACGTTTTGAGTCCATCAACAACGCATCCATTGATTTCCCTCACACCATGTTCCTTCCCCTCCAAGACGATTGAGAAATTTGCTGTTAGTTGAATGGATGGGGAAGGAAGGGTGGTACTCTAGAAGGGAGAGAAAGGACAAAATGTCAATTTATATAGATTCTCTGACATAGTACTGAAGCATTTCGGAAATATGTAGGTTTGAGAACATTAATGCTATGCTAAGCACACAAAATCCGCATAGTCAAAGCCATGGTATTCCCTGTAGTAACCTACGGATGTGAGAGCTGGACCTTAGGGAAGGTTGAGCGAAGGAAGATAGATGCTTTTGAACTGTGGTGTTGGAGGAAAGTGCTGAGAGTGCCTTGGACCGTGAGAAGATCCGACCAGTCCATCCTCCAGGAAATAAAGCCCGACTGCTCATTGGAGGGAAGGATACTAGAGACAAAGTTGAAGTACTTTGGCCACATCATGAGGAGACAGCAAAGCCTAGAGAAGACAATGATGCTGGGGAAAGTGGAAGGTAAAAGGAAGAGGGGCCGACCAAGGGCAAGATGGATGCATGGCATCCTTGAAGTGACTGGACTGATCTTGAAGGGCCTGGGGGTGGTGACGGCCGACAGGGAGCTCTGGCGTGGGCTGGTCCATGAGGTCACGAAGAGTTGGAGACAACTGAACAAATGAACAACAACAAGCACACAAGACTGATTTTAATTGTTCCTAAATTTTATCACAAACTTTCAAAATTAATTATCCTAATAATTTGCCTTGGATCCTGCTCTGGAATAAAGATAGCATAGAAATTAATTAAATAATTAAATAGATACAAAAACAAATAAATTTGTCTTTCTTCCAAAAAAAAAACTTCACTAGGTGCAAGCTGGCACCTCTCTTGAAAGAGAACATCAGCTATACTTCATGTTGAGTCTATTCAGTGCTCATGAAAACTTCATGCATACAGAACAGGGAAAACTGATTGTACAGGAAGGAACTGCCAAGGAACACGATGAAGTATTTAACAGTGAGGAAAAATATACAGGAAAAATATACTCTGTTGGGACCAGACAATATATCGAAGAGATTCAGATTCCCAACTAAGCAACGACTTCCTATGTTTTCATGTGGATGAAGATGTTCAAACAGGAAACTAGCATCAAAGCTCACTACATGCCTGGGAAGGAGCCAAGGTAACCACAACCATGATGGAAAGGAAAGGAAAGGAAAGGAAAGGAAAGGAAAGGAAAGGAAAGGAAAGGAAAGGAAAGGAAAGGAAAGGAAAGGAAAAAGAGTATATATAGCATGTCAAGGAAAGGAAAGGAAAGGAAGGGAAAGAAAAGAAAAGAAAAGAAAAGAAAAGAAAAGAAAAGAAAAGAAAAGAAGGGTGTTTCCGGTGGGCAGAAACATACTGCTCAAGAGTATAGTCACCTATGTGAAGATGAATTGAGAAGTATGCTGTCTTCCTGACACATGCATTGGTTCCAAGATGCCAAAGAAGTCTCATGTTTTTCAAATTGTGAGTTTCCAATAAAAGTTCTTTTTAATTAAGTGGTATCAAATCATTTGTCGGGAGAAGTAATCATCTGATAGAACTCTATATAATAGTATTTCAATTAGTTTCAGAAATTTTAGAAATAAAGTATCCTTGCCAGCTGCTTTTTTTCTATCCTCCCACAATTTCACAAGCTCTTTTCCAGCTTCTTATAAGATTCCATGGTAGAAAAGAAAGCTTTTCAGAATGCAATTGTTGTGTTTTTAGTTAGAAGCTTCCTCTTAATGAAATACAATTGAATACTTGCGGTTAGAAGGAAAGTTGTTTATATAGAGATCTGCACTCGTACCTTGGGAAGTCTGACTTGGCCACGGTAGTCCACGCTCTGGTTACATCCCGTATAGACTCTACGTGGGGCTGCCACTGAAGACTGTTTGGAAGTTTCAAATGGTCCAACAGGTGGCAGCCAGGTTACTAACAGGAGTGGCATTCAGTGAGCATACAACTCCCCTGTTGCACAAACTCCACTGGCTGCCAGTTTGCTACCGGGTACACTTCAAAGTCCTGGCTTTAGCCTTTAAAGCCCTAAATGGTTCCGGCCCAGCTTACCTGTCTGAACATATCTCTCCCTATGAACCAGCTAGGAGCTAAAAATTGTCGGGGGACGCCCTGCTCTTGGTCCCGCCTCCTTCGCAGATGTGATTGGCAGGAATGAGAGACAGGGCCTAATCAGCGGTGGCCCCTCGGCTATGGAACGCCCTCCTTAGGGATATTAGATCGGGCCCCTCCCTCCTAACATTTCAAAACGAGTTAAAACCTGGCTTTTTGAGCAAGCATTTGTAAATGCAGTGTAACAGGCTAATTTAGATCCACGGAACGATTGGACGATGCAATTGGAAAATGTTTCAGAATAATAATGAGATGCTGAAGACTTGTGTTTTTATTGTTTTTATTGTTTCTACCATTTTAATATTATATTTTAATGTTTTTAATTATATTTTATGTTGTTGGGGGCATTGATTGCCAACTGCAAACTGTCTTGAGTCGCCTTCGGGCTGAGAAAGGAGGTATATAAACATGGTAAATAAATAAATAAATAAATAAATAAATAAATAAATAAATAAATAGATGTATTTGCAAAAAACAAGGTGGCAATCATTTGACCCTCTTTCTTCTGTCTGTGTTTCCCCATGCCAGACTCTGGCTATTTTAGAAGCATTGTAAGTTTTGAAGGGGGTGCTGTTAGTGATCCTAAGTTCCTTTAGTACCTAAAGAGAACTCTCGAAAGCTTAGATCTCCAAGATTAGCAAAAAGCTGTGTTCTGCTGCACTGCCTTGGCAGAACTCAAGATTTGTATCATCGTTATGCCAYCCTTGAAGTCCATTGGTATTCATTATTTTTTGATGCAGTTAATACATTCTTGGTATTTGAAATTGCTACTCAACAACTACTGGCCCCCCCCCCCCCAAAAAAAAAAAAAACCTCAACAGAATCTAATCTGCTGGTGGAAGTGTTCCCATCCACACAGTTGAATAAAATCCCACATTATCTGCTTTGAACTGGAATAGATGGCAGTGTGGACTCAGATAACCCAGTTCAAAGCAGATAATGTGGGATTTTCTGTCTTGATATTCTGGGATATAGGGCTGTGTGGAAGGGCCCTCAGTCTTTGGGTCATTAACCCAAATATATGTAATGTAGCTTTCATGACCGAAGTCACTGGGTTGCTGTGAGTTTTCCGTGCTGTATGGCCATGTTTCAGAAGCATTCTCTCCTGACGTTTCGCCTGCATCAATGGCAGGCATCCTCAGAATTTTTTGAAGTCTGTAGATGCAGATGAAAAGTCAGGAGAGAATGCCTCTAGAACATGGCCCTATAGCCCGAAAAAACCTACAACAACCCAGTGATTCCGGCATGAAAGCCTTCGACAATAAATAAATAAATAAATACATTTTTTTTTTAATAATTTTTATTAAGATATATCCATACACATGTATAGGTAAAAAAAGAAAAATAGAGGAAAAAGGGCGGGATAACAAGGTAAGGATAAAATGGGGAGTAGAAATAGAAAAATAGAGGAATGGATTAGGTTAGGTAGGGGGGTGCCGACTAGGTTGGGGAAGGGGGATGCGGGAAATAAGAAGGGAACCGGGGAGGGGTGAAGAAAGGGGTAGGAAAGTGCAGGGGGTCATTTGACTTCCATAATCTCCTTCTCATTGGTTCTATCATTTTGTTTTCTTCCTTTTTTCTACTAAGTTCATTCTTCCTCCTTTTTTGTTTCTTTTCTTTCTTGATCTTCCTTTAGATATTCCTCATATAGCTTCCAGTCCGTTCTTCTCAGTGGTTTTCCGTATGAATCTTTTAATGCAAATGTAAGTTTGTCCATATCCTTGATTTCTTTCATCTTATTTATCCATTCCTCTTTCGTGGCTACTTCCTTCTGTTTCCATTTTTTTGCCAACATTATTCTTGCTGCTGTGATACAGTAGTTAAATAGAATATCCTTATTTTGATCTAGTTCCAAGTCCTCGTCTGTTATTCCCAGTAGAAAGTATTCTGGTTTCATGTGTATCTTAATTTTTAGGATTCTTTCGCATTCTAGCTTTATCATTTTCCAGTATATGCTGATCATGGGGCATGTCCACCAAGCATGGTAGAACGTTCCTATATGTGTTTCGCATTTCCAACATTTATTTCTTGCGGTATCGTACATCAACCCTAATTTTTGAGGTGTCATGTACCACCTATAAAATATCTTTAGCCAACTCTCTTGCATGTCAGTCGAATAAGTATATCGAATTTTCTTTTTCCACATTTTTTCCCATTCTTCATATTGTATTGATCTTCCTATATTTTTAGCCCATTTAGTCATGCATTCTTTTATTGTTTCTTTTTCCGTAGCCCATTCTAATAGTTTATTATATACTATTGTTATATTTTTTTTCTTTTTCCTTAGAATTTGGTCCCATATATCTTCCTTTGACATAAAGCCTATTTTTCTGTCCGAATTGTAATATTCTTTAAGTTGTAAGTATTGGAACCAGGATACATTTATAAATTTGATATTTATCTCCTCTCTCGTCTTGAGTTTTAATTCATTATTTTCTTTCTTTAATACATCTTTGTATACCGGCCACTTAGTCCATCCCAGCAGTCGTCTTTGTTTCGCTTCTAAAGGTGATGTCCATAATGGCGTTTTTGAATACATTTGTGTTTTGTATTTGTTCCAAATTTTTATTAACGCTGATCTAATAAAGTGATTGTTGAAGTTCTTTTCTTTTAGTGTTTGGTTGTACCAAAGGTACGAATGCCACCCGAATCTGAGATCAAAACCTTCAATTGTTAGAATTCTTTCTTTTTTTAATGAGATCCATTCTTTTACCCATGTGAGTCCGCTTGCTTCATAATATAATTTTAAATCTGGAAGGCCCATTCCTCCTCTATTTCTTTGATCTATCATGTTTACGTATTTGATCCTTGGTTTCTTACCATTCCATATAAATTTCGAGATCTCTTTTTTCCAATTCTCAAACAATTTGTTATTCCTAATTATGGGGATATTCTGGAAAAGATACAGTAATTTTGGAAGAACATTCATTTTTATTGTTGCAATTCTCCCCAAAATTGATAA